TGCGATTGTGCGATAGCGAGCAACGTCAGTAGGTGTACAATAGTATCAAAGAACAAGAAGACAGCAGCAACTCCAACGAAAGTTGCTCACACGTCTCGTCGCGACCACAAGGAACGCTATACCATATCTAGAGCGACATCGGAACAAACGAGGATATTGATAGCTTTAGAGCGCATATTGGCAAAACCTGGTCTAGCTAGTGACAACGATGACGATGATTTGAGCCGCCTCCGCCGCCAGCTCCGTTCGTCGTCGCAGCAGGAACAGAAATGTTGGAAAGACGCGTATTGATCGACGGTGTGGCTGGATCGGGAAAAACATTCCTGCTAGGTGTCATGCTGAACAAGTTTAGACGCGTTCGTTATCTAGTGAAGAAGCGCAACTTTGTCGAAGCCACTCTCAAGCGTTTTCTTTAACCTTATACATTTACATTTGTGCCTATGCTTCGCGCCAGGCTTAGCAGCTTCTGTACAATTGGCTTGTGACGACGAATAACGTTTATCGCATTCCAAACATCATCAGAAAACGGTGGCCTTCATTCGTCATTGGCTCGAGTTTGTCTCCGCTCTACTCGTACTCTGCCCGTATGCTTGCGCAACCTGAATGATCGCCCACGGTAGGAATCGAACGTATACGAATCAAAAGAACGCTGCACGCCTGTTGTTCAACCGCCCTCGATTTGGACGAAATGGCAGCGCGCACTTTCTGGTCCAAAAACATTCAGTGAATTTTCCAATGAGACGAAAGCGACCGCAACTAAGTTCATCATTTTGCTTCACCGTTTCTTTTCCTCCGAACATTGCGTTCCTTGCGCCATATCGCAAAATGAACCAGCGTTCAAAATGCGGATCCGATTGGTGCCAACGGGACGGATTCAAAAGGCGTGCGTCCACGTACCGCCAAGTCGCGTCCAATAAAACGGTGACCAGTTAGTTTGCGCGCGTTGTCAGAACATCCGATCGAAACACCGTTGTGTGTGTTGCGCCGCCACGCTCGTTACTCTCAGGATAAGAGATCTCGTTGTACTGTGTGTCCTGTCGTGTGCAACAGCGATGCGTCCGGAGTGCTCATGGAGCGTTTCCATCAGTTTGGCTAGGCTACAGAAGGTCAGCAGTAAATTATTGGTTGTCGCCTCAAGCTAGCAAAAACGATCATACTCGAACGTGAATTCGCCGAGGTAAGGTATAGGAATTTGTCGGATCCGCTAGCAACGTCTTCGATTCGTAAGGTTTTCGTTCGCGGTTGGAGGGACAAGAGCGTTCGGCGAACTCGCCGATGAGTCGATGACCAGTTGAAGCTAAAAGTCCAAGTGAAGAAATTGTTCGTCGCGATTCCTCGGCCATCCGACATTGGCATCGAATTGTGACAGTCTGAGTAAAGAAGATGTCGATGGGTAAAACGAAGAAGGGTTGCGCGATAGCAGGAAAATGTAAGCAAAATAACTCGTTCCGGCCAAACTACGAAGCCAATAAGGCGTTACAATTCGACCGCCACCTTGAAGGAGGATAGATTCTTCAATATCGTTTACGAAAACGCATAATGTACAATTGTTCCCACGACTCTTACCAAGTGCAGCGATGGTGTGTAACTCAGATTCAAGAGTAATTGCGAATACCGTGTGGTGCCACACACCCCCAGCGGAAATACAGTGGGCTCGATTGCGAAGTGTTTCGGTTAACGCGCGTACATGAATCGACAACGACTCGAGCGAATCGTAATCGAATGTTGCACTGAGAACCGTAAACGACCGTACGGCCTCCAATACGCTAAACGTCGTCACTTGAACACATTGGCGATCGTCCAGCCATTATTCGGTTTACGATTGTGATCAAACACACGAACGATCAAACGAGGGGCCATCGCGCTCGTTCTTTCAGGCGACCCAGTCAGCGGAATTTGGAGGTAAATTCCTGAAAACGACTAAGTTCATGTAGCAAGTGGCAGATGTGGTGGCGCGTTCACTTCAACTCAGATAATTTTCGACCTCGCGGCGAATCTTCCATCGCTATGATCTTGCTCCGCTCACTTGGCATTCGGCACGTTGGTAAGGTGTGTGTGGTGGTGCCACCGTTTGTAGTCGCCGCTGCCGCTACAATCGGTATCGTGACGCCTCGATCATTCAAATATACGTCGCAATTTTCTTCGTATGTATTGATCGTTGGCTCGTAGCGAACATGTTTTCATGCGAGAAACATCGAGAACGTTTGAGTTCTGACTGTTCAAAGAGTCCGTGTCTCTCACGAGATCGTCACACAGGTCAAAGTTCGACGGCCGCCGCGAAAGAAGCTAATTGAACGGTTTGCGGACGATGTCTCGGTTGAACTAATCCGTACTGTTGGGATGAAACTCTGGCAAAATACAATTGAATACAAGCGCGTCCGCGCGGGTCTGCGTTCGCAGAAAATCGAACGAGTGCGTCGCGCCACTCGTTGCATCGATGCGAAAGACGTATCGATTGCGCGAACGCTTCACCGCGTCCTATTTGTATAGTTGTTGCTTCAATGTTGTTCGATGTTTCTTAGCACATAACGCTATTATTTTGTGTTTCCGACCATTTTCTATTTTCCTTCGCAAGTCGTCGCAAGGAAGCAATGGTGAGCACGGTAAAGGTATGAACCGACGTTCGAATAGTTTTTAGTAGCGCTGAGAATCTCGTACTCTTCTCAACAAGCGGCGTGAGGCAGATTGCGCCGATAACCAGGGGAATTGGTGCGGACGGAGTATACATTCTTCCCGACCAGTGCCGGTACAGTAATCAGCGACATATTTGCGCGATGCAATGTTTTGCTCAACGAAAACGGAGGAGTTGTCTTGACAAGCGAGCCAAGCGAGTTTGGAGTTGGTCTGGATTCTCCGTGCGCGAGCTGTCCGCTGGTAGCGAATCGATTATATCGAATCAACGATGTTGATATATCAATTCGATGATTATTCGATCGCTCATATCGCGCATGCTGTTGAACGTGCGTGAACATGGTGTGCTATTTTAAGATCCCACTCAAAATATCTCAGAAATATTAGGCAATAAGAAAATGTTTTCAGACAAAGTTGTATGACTAAAAAGAGGACATAAAAGCAGCGATAGTCATTTTTTTTACAGATAAGCGCTACTTCGAGATATTCACTAGATCATTATAATTTTCTTGAAATGAGAAAATCTCCATTTTTTATGTATTATGCTCTTTTCTACACTTAATTAATTAACAATTTTGTTTGACATATTTTTGTATTTGACTAATATTTTTTTTAGATATTTATGAGAACTTTTTTCCAACATTTAACGCTTATAATATCTTTGCTGACTATTCGTCGAAGGAAAGTGATATTAGACTTTTGTTATTTATTTAGTCTCTAGAATATATGCTACAATAGTGCCCTGATTTTTTGTCTAATTTGACCTATACAAGCAATTCCAAAGTCGACAAGTTAATAAAAAATTAATGGCACTATTGTAGCAATATATTCAAGGAGGACCAAATGGAATGAAAAAAAGTCTAATTACCACTTTTTCTTCCGACAAATAGTTAGTGATGTAATAACATAGTAAATTGTTGAAAGAGTTTTTCCTATAAAATATCTTAAAAAAATAATTAGGCAAATAAAAAAATGTTTCGGGACGTTACTTTCGAGATATTCACTATTATTATTTTCTTAAATGGAATTCCAATATTTTTATTGTATATCCTTTTCTACGAACAAATTTTAACAAACTTTTGTCTGAAACATTTTTCATTGCCTAATAATGTTTTAGATGATTTAAGAAAAACTTGATAACTTCTTCAGCTTCATGCTGCCGTATAAATAGCCTTCCTGTGCTTCCCGTATAAATGCGCGCCCTGCGCTACCATTCGGATCCCCTTCCACGTATTTTTTTGTAACGCGGACATTTTTAGGAAAAAATGCTTTCAGACAAAAAGTTTAATACAATTTCAAAGGGACATAAAAAATATATCATTTGTTTACAAATGCAAATACTTCAGGATATTCACTGATATTTTTGCTAAATAAATACCAATTTTTTATTGTATCATCTTGTTCTAAACGAACGAATTTTAAGTAACTTTCGCTGAAACATTTCTCTACTTTGTCTAATATTTTTTTACGATATTTAAGAAAAACTTATAACTTCTTCAGCTTCACACTGCCGTATAAATGGCCGCCCTGTGCTCCCGTATAAATGGCTGCCCTGCCGCTACCATTCGCATCCTCCTTCCACCGTATTTTTTTTGTAAACGCGGACATTTGGAAAAAGTTCAGGCAAAAAGTTGTACAATGTTCAAAGGCGGGACATATAAAAAATATATCATTTTTATTTACAAGATGGCAATACTTTCGAGATATTCACTTGATCATTAATTTTCTTAAATGGAAAAACCCAATTTTTTTATGTACATCTTTTTCTACGAACGAATTTTAACACTTTCGTGCCGAAACATTTGCATTTGCCTATATTTTTTTAGATATTTAAGAAAAAACTTATTAACTTCTCAGCTTCACGCTGCCGTATAAATGGCCGCCTGTGCTCCCGTATAAATTTGGCCCCCTGCGCTACCAGTCCACATCCTCCTGTCGACGTATTTTTTTTGTAAACGCCGACATTTTAGAAAAATGTTTCAACAAAAGTTTGTTACAATTTCCAAAGGGGACATATAACAATATATCATTTTGTTTACCAAATTGCACTACTTTTCAAGATATCTCACTGATCATTAATTTGTTGAGCAGAAAATATAAATTTTTATTATACTATCTTTTCTACCACTTAATGTTGAACAACAACTTTCTTTGAAACAGTTTTCCTGATTTGCCATTTATTAGATATCGCGTTCACGCGCTGTGCACCCTTAGGAGTATCATATATATATATAGCGAGTCAAGTGTGTGCGTGGAGGATATATAACAGGCTCGATTCGTACGACTACACGTCAGTCGTCTCTTATTTGTAATCACCACGCATCGAACGCTCACTCGTACGCACCCTCACGCTACTTACACTCTCGAACATGTCGCGCAACCAACGCAACAGCAGCACAACCGTTTCAACCGCCGCCGCTTCGGGAGACATGTGGGCCAACATCGATCGATATATTTCTCAGCGTACCAAACGAGAGGAAGATGACCGTTACCTATTGAGCAAGGACAGCATATCTGGGAAGCGACGAGATAATCGCGACGATGTAGGCAACGATCGGGAGGAAAACGACTCTGAGCAAAAACAGCGACAAATTGAACGCAAGAAACGTCGCCTTTTTCTACTCAACGACGACGACGACGACAATAACGAGGAGCAAAACGACGATGACGGCGACGATGTGGACAATGATCGGGAGGAAAACAACTCTGAGCAGAAACAGCGACAAATTGAACGCAAGAAACGCCGCGTTTTTCTACTCAACGACGACGACGACGACGACGACGACAACAACAACAATGAACAAAACGACAACGAGGAACAAGACGGCAACGGGAAACGAAAACAGGGCAACGAACGTGGCCGAAAGTCCTATCATCGTCCGTCTGTTTCGTATAATCGAGCTGTTGTTGGCGGTAGCGACGACCGTAGCGATAATGACGATATCGACGACTACAGTGACAAGAAAATTGAAAAACGTCAGCGTTCACCGCCGATACGCATCCCCAACAGGCGTGGCAATCGAACGGAACGCGATGGTCGGTCCCCTGTGAAAAACATACGAGGACGCGCTATTACCGAACTCATTGTTGAAAAGTCAGAACGCACCATGGACCGACTCGAACGCGCTCGACCTATTGCAGGCAACAGCGACGAGAATGACAGCTGCGCCACTGTCGCCGATGACCAACGTGGTAGTAGTGGTGGTGGTGGTGAGTAGTTGGACACTTTGTTGGGCGATGCTACCGCAGATATCAGACAAATTTAGAACAATTTGGGCAATATGTGGAACTCGATGAGCATGAAACGCAAGAATAACGAGTGTACAATGGAGTTTTCCGACGGAGGAAATTTGGAGTCATTGAGCACATATCGCGCGATTGAGGCGATGGACAACACGCTGAATTTGACTTGTTGGTCTTTACTGTCTCGCCTCGATGCAGACTTATGCATTCGAGAGACTGGTGTGACCAATGAAAACTACATGCGATATGTGCGAGAGATAGTGCACTCGATCAAGGGAACCGTCTTGGAAGTGTACGATCACGCCAAACGGCATTCGCGCAAGTGTAACATCTCCGTTTCCATGATGGAGCAGCTGCGCAAGCAATTCAACGATATTAACGATGAAAACAACTGACAACGTAGCGAACGACGCTGGTGGCAACAGTTGCGAAACAGTAGCAACACATCGCAACAAAAGTGATGCTCTTGTCGAGGACATGGATCTAATAATTGACGATAATGCTGCCACAACATCAGATATCGCGGAAGAAGGTCAACGAATTGTGTCTTTCTCCTTTCCATCTGAAAATGATTCTCTAACTGAACAGCGCAAGTGGCACAGACTGATCGGACGTTTGGACTCACACGTGCAGATATTTTTACAATTTTTAGCCATGATGCGCAAGGGCTTTTTCGACGGTATTCGCGAATCTGGTAGATTCGCTACTGTGAACGGTATTTTTGACGAATCCCATAGAGATTATTTGCGCTCGCGTTTGACGTACAAATACCAACAAAAAGATGCAAGCATGACGCATCGGGTCCATGGGTTCATGTTGATTTCCGCCATGAGGCGAAAGTTTAAAATTCGAGGCATTGTCGCAGCGGAATTCTCGATGAAATCGTGATTTTGTACGTAACGATGTGTTTCCCGGACAAGATCCCATGACCAAACTGCGCATATTTCTCAATTTGTCTCTAACGCGCAAAACACAACGTCTGAACCTGCTTGGTACAGATCATCCGACGACGGCAGCGGCGGCGGCAGCGGCGGCAGCAGCGACGGCAGCGACATCGGTATCAATCAGCGGCGCTATCGCGGGTGGTGGTGGTGATGGTGGTATTGGTATTGGTAAATTTGGCCCCTCTGCAACTTTCGCTGCGCCGTTTAGCGCCGCGTCTGTTCAATGCAATTCAGACGATTGCGTCGAACTTGCTCTAATTGAACTCTCACAACTCAAGCTTGATATCGAAAAACATATCATCATTGTAAAAGGTTACATTGTACTTTTGATTAATTAATTTGTACGTTTTGCAGGGAGAGGTGATTGTACAATAAAAAGACATAATTTTGTTGATATAAATAAATATATTGTGTTTCTTGTCTCTAAAACATTAACCTTGATACATTACATTTTGTGCATCTTCGCGCCACTACATGCTTCTGTACAATTGCGTTGACGACGACGAATAACTTTATCGCATTCCAAACATATCAGAAATACGGTGGCTTCTTCGTCATTGGCTCGAGTTTGTCTCCTCTCTACTCGTACTCTGCCCGTATGCTGGCAACCTAATGATCCGGCCCAACGTAGGAATACAACGTACGAATCGAAAAGACGCTGCATCGCCTGTTGCTCAGCCGCCCTCGATTTGGACCGAAGTGCAGCGCGCACTTCTGGTCCAAACATTATGTGATTTTCCAATGAGACGAAGCGACGCAACAAGTCGTCATTTTGCTTCACCGTTTCTTTTCCTCGAACATTGCCGTTCGCCTTGCGCATATCGCAAATTGTAATCGCAGCGTTCAAAATGCGATCGATGTGCCAACGGGCGGTTCAAAACGGGCGTCCACGTCCCGCCAGAGTCGCGCCAATAAACGTTGACCAGTTATTTCGCGCGCCGCGTCAAACATCCGCAATCGCAAAACCGTTGTTGTGTCCGCGCCACTTGTGTCGTCACTCTCGGATAAGATTGTACGTTGTACTGTGTGTCCGTCGTGATGCACAGTCGATGCGTCCGGAGCGCTCATGAGCGTTTCATCATTGGCTCGATACAGAGGTCGCAGTAAATTATTAGTTGTCGCCTCAGCTAAAAAATGATCATACTCGAACGGTGAATTCGCCGAGGTCAAGGTGATAGATTTGTCGCATCCGCAGCTACGTCTTCGATCGTACGGTTTCCGTTCGCGTTGAAGGACAAAGCGTTCGGCGAACTCCCGATAGTCGATGACCAGTTGAGCTAAAGTCCAAGATGAAAATGTTCGTGCGATTCCTCGCCATCCGACATGGATCGAATTGTGACATCTGAGTAAGAGAATGTCGATGGGTAAACGAAGAATGACGTTGCGCGATAGCAAGGAAATGTAAGCAAAATACTCGTTTCCGCCAACACGAAGCCAATGAGCGTTACATTCGACGCAGCCTATGAAGAAGGATAGATTCTTCAATATCGTTACGAAACGCATAATGTACAATTGTCCACGACTCGTTACCAATGCAGCGATGGTGTGTAACGTGATCCAGAGTAATTGCGAAGTACCGTGTTGCCACACACCGCCAGCCGGTAAATACAGTGGCTCGATTCGAATGTTTCGGTTAACGCGTATCGAATCGATCAACGACTCGAGCGAATGGTAACGAATGTGCACTGGAACGTAACGGCCGTACGCCTTCAATACGCTAAACTCGTCATTGAACACCGAATGGCGATCGCCAGCATTATTCGGTTTACGATTGTGATCAACACACGAACGATCAAACGAGGGCATCGCGCTCGTTCTTTCAGGCGCCACATCAAATCTGGAGGTAAATTCTGAAAACGACAAGTTCATGGCAAGTGGCAATGGTGTGGCTGCGTTCACTTCGGCCAATAATTTTTCGACCTCGCGCGAATCTTCCATCGCATGCATCTTGCTCGCCGCCTCCTTGGCATTCGGCACGTTGGTAGTGGTGGTGTTGGTGGTGGTGGTGCCACCGTTTGTAGTCGCCGCTGCCGCTACATCGGTATCGTGACGCTCGATCAATTCAAATATACGTCGCATTTCTCGCACGTATTGATCGTTGGCTCTAGCGAACATGTTTATGTCGAAACATCGAGAACGTTTGAGTTCTGACCCGTTCAAACAGTCCGTGTCTCTCACGAGATCGTCTAGCAGGTCGAATAGTTCGCGAGCCGCCCCGAAAGAACTAATTGACGGTTGCGACGATGTCTCGGTTGACAATCCGTACGTTGGGATGAAACTCTGTGCAAATACAATTGAATACAGCGCGTCGCGCGGTCTGCTTCGCAGAAATCGAAAGAATGCGTCGCGCCACTCGTTCAGCACTCGATGCGAAAGACGTATCGATTGCGCGAACGCTTCACCGTCCATTGTTGTAGTATTGTTGCTCATGTTGTTCGTATGTTCTTAGCACATACGCTATTATTTGTGTTCCGCAATTTTTGGCTATTTCTTCGCAACGTCGTCGCAAGGAAACAATGGTGACGCGACGGTAACTATGAATGCGTTCGAATAGTTTTAGTTAGCGCTGAGATCTCGTACTCTTCTCAACAGCGGCGTGAGTGCAATGCGCTGATAACCAGGGGAATTGGTGCGGACGGAGTATACATTTCTTCCGACGATGCCGTACAGTATCAGCCGATCATTTTGCGCGATGCATATGTTTTGCTCAAGACGAAAACGAGCCAAGCGAGTTTTCGTCTTGAGCAAAGCGAGCCAAGCGAGTTTGGGATTGGTCTGAATTCTCGTGCGCGAGCTGTCCGCGGTAGCGAATCGTTTATTCGAGTCAACGATGTTGATATCATTACGATGTATTATTCGATCCTCATATCGCGCATGCTTGTTGAACGTGCGTGAACATGGGTGGCCTATTTTAAAGGATCCACTCAAATATCTCAGAAAATATTAGGCAAATTAAAAAATATTTCAGACAAAAGTTGTATGACTTAAAAGAGGACATAAAGCAGCGATATCACTTTGTTTACAGATAGCGCTACTTTCGAGATATTCACTAATCATTATAATTTTCTTGAATAGAAATCTCAATTTTTTATTATATTATCTTTTTCTACCACTTAATTTGAACAACTTTTGTTTGACACATTTTTGTATTTGACTAATATTTTTTTTAGATATTTATGGAGAACTTTTTCAACATTTAACCTATAATATCTTGCTGACTATTCGTCGAAGGAAAAAGTGATATTAGACTTTTTTATTTTATTTAGTCTCTAGAATATATTGCTACAATAGTGCCCTGATTTTTTGTCAATTTGACGATATAGAAATTTCCAAAAGTCGACAAGTTAATAAAAAATTATGGCACTATTGTAGCAATATATTCAAGGGACCAAATGGAATAAAAAAGTCTAATACCACTTTTTCTTCCGACAAATAGTTAGTGATATAACATAAGTTAAATGTTGAAAGAGTTTTCCTTAAATATCTAAAAAAATATTAGGCAAATAAAAAAATGTTTCGGACGTTACTTTCGAGATATTCACTGATTATTATTTTCTTAAATGGAAATTCCAATTTTTTATTGTATCATCCTTTTCTACGAACAAATTTTAACAACTTTTGTCTGAAACATTTTTCTATTTGCCTAATAATTTTTTAGATATTTAAGAAAAACTTGATAACTTCTTCAGCTTCATGCTGCCGTATAAATAGCCTTCCTGTGCTCCCGTATAAATGGCCGCCCTGCGCTACCATTCGGATCCTCCTTCCACGTATTTTTTTGTAAACGCGACATTTTAGGAAAAAATGTTTCAGACAAAAGTTATACAATTTCAAAGGGGACATAAAAAATATATCATTTTGTTTACAAATGGCAATACTTTCGAGATATTCACTGATTATTTTTTTTCTTAAATGGAAATCCCAATTTTTTATTGTATCATCTTTTTCTACGAACGAATTTTAATAACTTTCGTCTGAAACATTTCTCTATTTGCCTAATATTTTTTTAGATATTTAAGAAAAACTTGATA